AGTTCAGCAAACTGAAATTTCCACTCCTAAAAATTCGAGTAGCAACTAGTTATTTTCACAACTCAGAAATATCACACACGCAGTTCACGAAACACTCGTTAACAGACAAGATATCTAGCCACATCTGTCCCGTCCAGACTTAGACCTAACCTAAGTGTCTTAAGATGTTATTTTAAGCTCATTTCTTTGATGCACGTAGGGTTCATTAACACAAAGCTAAACTAAAATAAATGTCGCCAAGGCAACGAATGGCATGGTCGAAGAAGTTGGGAGAAATATTATCTCGAGAGCAAATTCTGTATTATACAATGCAATAAAAACTATCCTGGAACATATTTTCATAAAGTGAAGGCGGAATTTTTAGGTTCTTGAACCCCAAATGACTTAAGGCAACATCAGAAATGTAACGCAAAATTTTGAACGCGGTTCAACTCGAAATCAGATGTTCAAATTTCTAATCGCGGAAAACTATTCTATTTGTATAGTTATCTGGTGATGTTTCGAATACTTCATCCATCTTCATTATCATACATCATCAGTGTGAATGATAATAATAATATCAAATTTATTTACATCAAAAGACGAATCATAACTACAAATTATTATGTTTATATTTGAATAGGTTGGATAAAGAAAATGGATAGAGTCTTTGAAACGACACCAGATGATACATCGAGTGAACTGTAGTAGACAAAACTTAAGGCATAAAAACCTCAATAGTGTCACAATATTGAGAACATATTGCGATGATTCACATTATTGCATAAAATACCCACTGACTGTGAACATTGCACGTTCCGACAATCTAGTAAATTAGTTTATTGTGCGCTTCAAGCGATCTAGAAGCCATTTTCTCTAAATTCAATATGACGGCACTATGACGTCATCTACGGGAATTTTATCGAATAACTGGATGTGATAAATAAAAGACGGTGTTTGTTGACTTAAAAAAATCAAGAATTGAAATTTTCCACCTCTTTCACCTACTTAATTATTTTCAAGTGCTAGTCAAAAGTGAAAGTTTCAAAGCTTCGTACTTTATCTTCTCGTGAAGTAGTTATTTATGAAAAAATGTAAAGACAGTTGTCAGTGGAGGATTCTTCACTGAAGTTATTCCTACATATGCTGTTGGCGATACAACTGCCGCAATTATTGGAACACACTTGCAGACCGGTTTCGGGCTGTTTGGCCACTCATCAGTGCAAGGTAGTGTCTATCATCAACATAAAGTCGATGATTTTCGATAATTCAAAATCGAATTTCTTCAGAGTATCATTCCTCGAGCTAGGCTGAAGCGGACAACAAACAACAGGTTTGTCATCGCCCCATCTGCCTGTGAACGAAGTAACCAACCGCATATCCGAAATTTACCCAATTCCTCGTGTAAGAAAAGAAAACTTTTGATATATATAGTCAGTGGGCATACTTGAAGACTGGCTATATCAAATCATCTGAAGGAACAGTCTTAACTCTCTACGGTGTAGGTTAATGGACTGACACCTATCAGAAAACAACTACTCCCCTGGCTAATACCACGAAGGGCGTTGGATTATATCCGAAGTCTTATTTTCTCATCAGCAGCTTTCTAGTTAACATTATAAGATGAAGTTCTCAGTTCATTCATAATATTACGATTTCAATTTCTGTTCTTCTTTCTAATCCTTCGGAAAAATAATAATTTTTGAAAGTGATAAAAAAACGAAGGAGTAGAAAGTAAAAGGGAGTACTTACTCCATTCTATCAAAATCATAAATAACTTTCCAGAAAGTAAAGCGACCTGATACAATTTCAAAAATTCTAAACGAACTTCCTAAACAGTTAATCCCAATATATTACCATAGTTAATGAATCGAATCCGTAGATATGATCGCAGGTGTTCCAGGAGTGAATACAGTAAATCTTCATTTAAATACTTGTAGATCAATAGCTATACGGTGTAGGTAGTGATTTGAAAGATCCCAGTACATGCTTCGAGTTGTGCTGCACTACATTTTCCGGAGCAATTTATTACTATCTCATAGATATATCTAAAACGTCAGGTTTCTCCGCAGAAAGGTCGTGGGATACATGAATTCTCTACTGTTGGAACGTACCGGGTTGTAGTACTTACAAGGAAAGTACACAGTGCCACCTACTGGGCGAAATTTATTAGTTACGGCAAATAGTTGATCACAGTTCGAGTACATTTTTATTTTCATCAAATTAATGTGGTTATGGTGGAATATGTTAGATGTCATTTTTATTAGAATCAACCAAGTTTCTACCAAAATTACAACCTGAAATGTTTTCCAGTATTGTACTACTTCTTCTAGCGTTAAATGAATACTTCCTCATCAACATTCAATTCTACGACCAATAACTGGTTACAGTCAACTGGAACAATTTTTAGATTTTTAGCTGCACACAAATTTGAAAAGTATGTATTGACATGAACCAATTTACATATAACTATGAACCAACCCCAAATAAAATTCAATTCACCATTCTAACCCACATCTCTAGCTGAAGGATATATAATGATTTGGTGAATTCAGGTGTTGGATATGAAAATGAATGAAGTTGGTTCACCTGAAAAACACTAATATAGTTTTGGACATACCATTGGTCCATCACCACTAACTGGTGGAAATAAATATGTCCCTCTCTTGTTGATTATATACTAATTACAGCCTAGGAGGTAGTTTTTATCACAAACGATAAAACAATAAATTCAATTCTGTTTATAAAAGAAGTTGAAACTTTTGACAGAACATCGCCTCTTCTGGCAATCTGGCAATCCCACGCCCACGAATAATGATATAAAACTGGAGGCATTGTAGTTTCTGCGTTGAGAATAACTTGAGCCATTCTACCGTTACCTCATAGCCTTTGATTAATTACTACTGCAGTATTAGACCACGGTCACAAAATCCAAACATTCTTTCACAAAGCAATTGATGAACAAAATCCGGGCTAGTAGACCTTGGTGGAATGGAACCTGTACCACATGTTTTGCGTCTGCTACTGCGGCAGTGGTATGTGCTTTTACTGCGAGGACCAAAGTAAGTATCAGTAACGACCGTTACTGAGACATCGAGATATATCTGTCGTCTTCGCAGTAAACGTACATACTACTGATGATGTCTGCCACAGTAGGACACGAAACGTTCGATACTTCAGGTTCCATTCGACCTCGGCCTATTAGTTAGGATTTTGTTCTCTTCAATTGTGACTCCGCAGTGAAAGCCTATATTCTTACATTTCACAACAAAACAGTTTGTAAAACCACAATATTCGTTTCACTGGGCAATATAAAATTCAAATTTTAGTTTTCGTATGCATTTCAATCAATTCTTATATCAAACAAAATTAGTATAATGAAAATTGTATACTTGTGAAAATATAATATGGTTAAATTGTAGGTATTACGAGATGGGACAGGAAATGAGACTTTGGTTCTGACAATAGAGTCGATCGTTAAAAAAAAATCCAAAGGGATTGAAATAAAGGTCTCAGTTGATTTTGATCAACTTTTGGAGAATTGAGATGTTTGTAAATCGAAATGATTTAATAAACAAGCGCCATAATCACACTGGGGTGAAATAATCGTATTATTTACTGTGAACCTAGAACAGTTCGAGAAATACTTTTGAGGAAAAAAGTTTTCCTGCTATCTTTTTGTGAGTGTAATTGAATTGAAAATTGAATTACTGTAAATTATATATACCACAGGTTCAATGTTGTCCTTGAGTTTTTTGACGGATGTCCATTGACGTTCAATATTATTGTATAATAATGGGGATTGTACAATAAATCGAATCAAGTTGAATAGACATTGATGGTAGTGCAATATTTTGCGTGATAACGAGCACAGACCTACAATCTGATACGTATTATTACTGGTCGCCAGTGTTTCATCTATAGGGCGTCTAGACTATAAATTTTTTTTAAATATCGTTCATCAGCATCCGAGTATTCTTTTTTGTAAGGACAATGCACAAGCGCTACAGAAAAATCCTTAATGCGATCTAAGAGCGGCGCTTGTGCAAAGTAACGATTCACGTTGGATTTGAATCGCTGGAGATTAAATCCATTTGGAAAAACGTTCTAAGGAAGTTTATTCCACTTAAATGCAGTTCTCCAAATGAAGTTCGAGGTGTCACAAGTTGAACCTCAAAACGATGAGCAGCCACAGTCCGTCGTGGATTTCTGATATGTACCGTTCTTGGTGGAATCAAATGTGCAAGTCACTTGAACACTTTCCATGAAAGTATCTATAAAAGAGAGACACATCTTCAACCTTTCTTCGATGTTCCACACTTGATGGACTCCAGCAGCTTCAGGTTATGTTTAGGCGCGGAGCTCCATACATGAAAAAACTCCAAAGAACGTCTGATCTGAGGCTTATAAAGCATCAACAGTTGCTAAGGTGTGTACAGTTTTCTGGTTCGAAACAGTGTTCTAAACTTTTGAGAAGCAGTCTTTGCATTTCCAGCGACATGATTGTGCCAAGACATATTGGTGTATATTTCAACCCCCAACAAACTTATCGAAGCAGAAAGCGAAATTGTCTGTCCTGACATATATTTCAGCATGTCAGATTTCTCCCATTATTCTACTTGTTGATACCGACTGATGAGGTATTTTTCACATTGCGCGAATATCTTAAAACGATTTGGTTTCGTACAATACTACGTACACGTACAATACATCGAATTACCTTTCATTACCAGAAACACGTGTTCAATTTTAATGCACAAGCTAATGTACTGGAAATAATATTGTTCGTGTATAGATCGCTATATCTCAGTTATTTTTTATTGAGGTAAGTATTGAAAAACCTGATATAGGGATCGATTATACTTACAGTTATATGAATCAGGTTGCAATCGTACGCGAAAATATTCATGAAATCATATCTATGACAAAGATGTATGTCATTCTTATATATATATTAAAAATGTACACTATGTCGGTTGAATGTACGGGAAGGAAGAAGCAAAAAATTAAAAATTACTCACCAGCGTCGGCAGGTGGCGTCGGCGTCTCTTCTCTAGCCATTCGCGGTTCCTCGAACTCGCCGCTGTCCTGTTTCTGCAAGTTCCTTTCCATCTCCAGGGTCGCCTTTTCCTGGTGCTCCATGAACGGATTGTAGACACCCTCGTCGAAGGGGTTGTTGTTATCGATAGCGTCTGTAAATCCTTTGGTGGTCTCCAAAGGGGACAGAACGTCGTCTACAGCGTCTACGTCTGTCTCGGGACCAAAATCGTCGTCGTCGTCGAACTCTGACGCGGACCGTTTACCGTTCGATTTTTCTTTCTCGTAGTAATCAGTCGTAGGCGATAACTCCGAACCTGAAAAACGGAACGATTACCTAGGTAGGCAATGGCCGAAAATCACAAACACACATTTTTTAAAAACTTTTATCAACTGAATTTCCACATTTCTTTTATTAATTGTTTTTGGATTAGCACCGACCGATACTCACTTCGACAAATACTACAACCATGGAATTGTAGCACAGATCTCCCAAGAGTATAATTAAGAAAATGTTTCCGGTGTTGCCGTTCTATAAAACAGATTTTGCTCTATAAGAAATAGAACATATTTGAGTCGTTCAATTTCAAAACCACACATATCAATCATTAAATGTAAATTTTGAATGTCATTTTATATAAGAAACAATTTAGATTTGAATAGTATTCTCTTTCAAACAGAGACAATACGCTCTGTTTTCCGACAGTCTGAATTTGAACAAATATTTCTCAATAAAATATATCAATATACTGGGGAAATAATAGTTTCTCATCAGGGACTTCATAGCTAACAAATACATCAATACAGAAATACCAAAAAGATTACGATTTTTACTGATTTTCGAAAATCTGAGAAAATGATTCCAGTTCAGGTTATCTGATAATTTTGTTGAGCTATTTAAAAATTATTTGATGTGTAGAAAATTTGTGGAGCATCACAATAGTCTCTAGGAAGTTCAATGCCAACACAAGAGTTACGCAGGAATCGAATTTGGGTCCTCTACTATTTATAATATTCGTTTTTGATCTCACTAGTATTCTCAGTTTTATTTTCTAGTAACTTTTCTTTGCTGGTGCCCTCAAAAAATAACGAAAATCGAGTCAGTAAGGTATTGTGCCAAGTTGCAAAAAGATATTCATAGTGTCTACAAATAGAATCAGATTAATAATTCGATATAAACTTCCGATTTTTTTTCAGTTATGAAATAAGAGGTAAGATGCTCATAAATTTAAAAATATTGGTGTACTTACAATACGGTTTTTACTAAGTACAACAAAACCTCAAAATTTCATCGATAAATTTTCATTTTTTCAAAAAAAAAAAGATGAATCCACTCGCCCATAGGACGAGTAGGAAAGGCATCCCTGCATTCTGTCTTATATTCAGATCTCATTTATGTTACAAACTTTTATTAGCATTTTGGAACATTGATGGAGAATATGCATGAAACAACATAATTCATTGCAGAAATGACAACATCGCGAAGAAATAAAAAAGGACTTCTTTTCGATTTATTTCTGCTTCATCCTGAAAAACGATTTGTTTGTTTTTGTGTGTGAAATGTTTAATGGGTAATAGGCACAATATTTTTGTAGTTCTGAAAATTCAATATACAAGTCAAAAGTAACAACCTGTTCCATTTTTGCTAAACAAAATCTTCAGAAAATAGTATTAGTTCCAATTCTATTCTTGATTATTTCAATTGTTTATTTTCTTTCAATTCTCAGTTCAATTTCCATTTGAAGCTGTTTCAATAAGTATTAAACAAGAAAAGCTTATGTGTTAATTCACACTGTTGGAAACAGTTTTCATTTCAAATCATCTTAGTTATTTTAAAATTAAAACTGATTCGAGGACTTTTTCCACCTATTTATATTTTTTTTAAATCCGTTTTTTTGATATTCTGAAGAAAGCTCTAACTGTTGAATGATTCAATAAATACATGAATAATTACATGAATATATTACCTAGGAATCTGAAACTTTCACGGTCGGAGATAACTATATGAAAGCTATTTTCCGGGTTATTGGCAGGTTTTTATGCCTGACGTTTCGTCTACTACTGCAGTCATTATTCGACTCTGGTTTTGTATTATTATTAGCGGGCCTGGCTTGGTTTCTCTTAAATGGATTACCTGACTGTCTACCTTTGAGTACAGGTAGCCAGATTGAATTAATTTTCTTAATGTTAATTGCCTCTTCTTTTCTATTGAAATTATCCTTGAGTTTAATTTCCAGATACTCCTGGATAATAATTTTTAGTTTTGTCTCTAGGATTACTGTATCTTCGAATACGATAATGTGAGGGCTTCCTTTGTTAAGAGCATATTCGGCTACAGCTGATTTGTCGGTTTGTCCGAGTCGACAATTTCCCTGTGTACGGATACCTACACTTCTTTTCGTGTTCCCAATGTAGACCGACCCACAGCTATAAGGATGCCGGTATACCCAGGGTGTTGCTAAAGGTTCTCTGAGGTCCTTGGCTGACCTTAAACTATGTCTGATAATTTTTGTTAGCCTAAATATTGGTTTCACTTCTTGTTTCTCTAAAGTTCTCCCAATCCGGTCCCAACATTTTTAACAAGGGAAAGCCTAGTTGGGGATACTTTGGTGTTCTCTCTTTTGGGTAGCATAGCCCGCTCCTTTGCTGTACCAATTCCTTATGAAGACTCTCAGGTTCACAAATACGTCGTGCTCTCTCAACCAATTAATATTGGATTTGTTCAGAAAGAAGTGACGAATTAAAAAAAAATACTTCAAGGAACAGCAGTGAAGGCAGTGAAGTATCACTTTTCTCTTGAAAATAAACTATTGTAAATTGGACACCACTGGCAAGAATGAAAAATTATGTTTTACAGCAGAAAATGCCATTTGATGAATAGAATATAAGTACTATGTTTCAGGATAATATTCAGAAACGTAACATTTTTTTCTCTCAAAACTTCAGCACCATGTAATTCAAAATTCAAGATCATATGTAGTTTTTTCTCAAAATTAACCAAAAAGTGATTTACCTAAATAATAGAATGTAGTAGAGACACCCGATTTGCTTCATGTAAAAAACTCAACTGTGATACCTTATTCTGGGATTTGGTACTCGGTACATTCATGACTGAATTCAAAATTTGGAATGCATTGGTCCTTTCACAAAAAATATTTTTTCAATAAATTTCAACAGTTTCAATGGCGGTTCTAACTTATAGTGCATAATGACATACACGCTACCTGAAGAACACATAGTGTTATTCGCTATTCCCCTTTACATACCCTGTACAACACAAAATTAAACAATAATTTATGATTCGTCTGAACACAGTTTACGAAAAAGTGTATTTTGCCTACTGGATTCAAGTAAGCCTTTCAAAATCTACATGAAAAAAACCTAAAAGCCCTGTATTTCAAAGATGACTCTAGCAAAACATCAAGTGTGTTACATTTTTGGAAAGGTAATTTTGAGCTCTATTGAAATATACAGGGTGTCTATTAAAAAAATATTTTTCCATCAATAACTATCGATATCTCATTTGAAAAAAATGAGTTTTTTACACCAATAAATTCTACGTAAAAAAGTGCTTTGGAAATGTTTTCATAGAAACAAGAAATTTTTGACAGAAAAAAAGTTACAGCAACTTTTCGAAAATGCACATTTTCGAAAAACATTCCATCAGTTTTCATCTATCTGGTTTGAAAACTGGAGTTTCCCTTTGAAAGTGCCTAATTTAGCCCACTCTGTACAGAGTTGCACTAAGAATTTGTTTTCTTCAATAATATGTGGTGGAGTGTACGTATGCAAATTAGCAGTTTCTTCAGCTGTATCAGTAGATGACATTTTAAAAAATTCAAACTTCAAAATACCGCATATGGCGTTAAAATGTAACTCACCACTCCGACTCTGTAGCGAAATACCTGAATGGATTCTGCCAGCCGACTGCAGTTAAATCTGATAAACCAGTATGAGGAGGTTTGTTTATTTTATCCAATAGACGCAAATTTACGTGGTGATTACGTGGCGATCACGCATCCATCATTGTTTGGGTTAATTTGTTTGTTGGATGGACAGAGTTTAGTTTTATCTAGTCTATGAAACCGAATATGTGAAATATGTTCCTTGTAACGAGTTATTATTGTCAACTTAGTTTGACCAATACATTCTTTGTCCCCCAGTTTTTTTTGAGTCTTTCTGAAAAGTCGTGGATTTACACACCTAATTAACTTATTGACTACGTTAATAGGATACCCATTGAACTATTCCCTTGCTAACTTTTTTCTCAGTCACTTCTTTTTTTGCTTGAAAGAAACAGTAGTTCTAACGCGAGAAAATTGTTTTCAACACATACATTTTTCGCCATAGGTTCCAATTCTAACAATCAAGTATACCCAATAACTTACCATTCTTTTTGAAGTTATCCGTCAAATTCAAGAGTAGGCCTTCGGATTTCTGCGAAATAATATTGTCAGTGGTGGCGCCATTCGATATGGCGAAGGGGTTGTTGGCATTATCGAGGCCTGCGTCCATAGTAACAGGGTTCAAGTTGCGGTTCGCCCAATGGGCATCCGCCAAAATTTTCGATGGTTCTCGAAGAAAAACTACTATAACGGAAATATTATCCAAAGAACCGTTTTCTTTTGCAAGGCGGACCAAGTGATGGCTTACTCTCTCAGTGTCGTCTGCAAAGAAAGAAAAATATATTAGTAATGGTAATGAAAAATATTAATGATAATAATTATAATTATAACCGTGATAGGGCACATTAATTTCGGAATCACGGTGTGGGGAGTGGTCATTGGTTGATGATGCTAACGCGCCCTCCTGAATTAATTGGGGCTACGAGAACTGTGCCTGACCAGCTCACCCTTCAGTTAATAAAATGATAATAATACAGTCCACTCTGTTCTCTAGAATATAAATCACTAATTAGGTATAATTTATTCAGTAGGAAGACGCCTAAGGACGCCAGTGAAAATTTCTCAATCGAGTGTTAATTGAAGACGTTATGGATTTTCATCAAGATTCAACCACATATATTTAGTGAGCATACTTGAAGACTGGCTGTGAATCAAATCTTCTAAAAGAGGCCAGTTTCAAATCATCTACACTGTAAGTTTAAGGGCTGACATCTATCAGAAAACAACCACTCCCCTGGCTAATACCACGAAAGACGTTGGATTATATCCGACAGGTGTAAGTGTAGGAATCTTCCTACATATGCATATGCTGTTGGCCGAAATCGGCCTGCAACTGACGAAATCGGTCTGCAAGTGTGCCCGTTTCAATATTGAAAATAAATTCCTGCACTGACACCTGTCGGATAGAATCCAAAGCCTATCGTGGTATTAGCCAGGGGAGTAGTTGTTTTTTTTTAATAGGTGTCAGTACATTAGTGTAGGTGAGTTGAAACTGGCCTGAATGAATTCTTCTTTTAGATAATTTGAAGCATCGTCCAATTCCTTATCATGAGTAGAAGCAGTTCGCATTATTTCTTTGTTTTTGGAATGTGTTTGTGATCAGATCTACTTAAAAGGAGACTGTTGAAAGTAGCTGTCTGATCTCATCGGTATGTTTTTCGTAGGTTTGTCGATTAGTAAAAAACACTATAACAATTCTAATTCACTATTGAAATATAACTTTTTTCTATTAGAAGGGAATTTCATAAATTACCCCAGAATTATAATTGAAAGGTATTTGGAACTAGCCAGTTTCTCCAATTTGAGAATTTTAGTCTTTTTTCTTCAACACAGATTCAAATATTTTCACATTTTTCAATGATCCTGTAGTCTATAACGTCAATGATTGTTTCTGGTACAAAAAGAGAGTGAATATTTTCAAGGTTGTAATAAAAACAAATCATTTGATGACAATGAAATCGTCAACCCTCAAGAATATCGGGGAAAATTAAATCTGTCAATATTAGAGGGATATTCTAGTTTGAAGAATTGTGACAAAAAATACAGGTCCGTATTATAATTTTTAAAACGTCCTGAGAGCATTACCTGTACGGAAGTAGAAATTTACATAGGATTTAAATTGTTGTATAATAGAGCAAGATTTTTCCCTCAAAAAGGGCATTCTTCATCCTAAAAAGTGTAGTCAGAGGTGTGTTGATCAAACCTCGAAACGTTAAGCAGTAAAATCAAAGCTTTGGAGGAGCTGAATTCCTGTAACGTGATTGTACCAGTATCCAGATTGACACCCAAATTAATCGACGTCTAGACATAATGTTTTGTTCCACGAATGTGGAATTGGTCGCGGTGGTAGTGCGCCCGACTTACGATCGGAAGACCGTGGGTTCGATTCCTGCCTCGACCAGATATTTTTCTCGAGAGAATTTTTCTGGTTGAAGCTGGGATGATTCTGCAACCGTGTTAGGAATCACACGTAAGACCTCATGAGTCCTTAGCTCGCACAAGTTTCTCAACTTCTGAGAGTTGTCGTTCGTATGGGGGCGACAGCTGATTAACGGAAAAACAGACAGATTTTAAACATATCTGACAAGTTCTAACATCGAATTTTAGGTAATCCAGAGAGTGTCAAACACTTTGCAAAGATGTTGAAGCATTCCAAATATACGAGATAAGTAAAACCACCGGTCTATGGTCAATTAGATTTTTCTTATTTTTTTTGGGAATAGATTCAACTCGAACACCTTTCCTACTAGTGCATTTTTGTGCATTGGTGCATTTTTTAAAAACGATGACAGTTACTTTATCGAGACCAGATTGTGCAGTTAGGAAAGTGGGAGGTGATGCAATCATAAACAGAATATAGAGTTTTTTGGTTTTTTGAATGTTACATGGAGTTTCCTTTGATGCAATTCCAAGTCGATAACTGGTGACTGCAGCATTAAAAGCCAACATAAAAACACCTAAAGAAATTGATAAAACATTCAAAGTGCTTGTCACTATTGAATTTCTGAAGACTCATCACGAGAGATCTTGAAAAGTGTAGGTATTCAAAAACCCAATGCGATTTGATCTGGTAGATGAATGGTAGCGAAAAAATATTTCAATGATATGAATTCAGTCAACTAATTTCTAGAAGATAAAAATGGCAGAAGTAAAAACTTACTTAATATCGGAAAGGTCTCGTGACACTGCTGAATCTCTCAGAATGAAACTATTGCGTTGTGAAGATGTAGTCGTATTTTTAAATGAACTTCAATTCCTCTAAGTCTTACTTATTTATGGAAGACGAATATGAACTTTTTATATATATTTTTCAACTTTCTTCACGAAAAATTTGTTATGAAAGTGATATGAATGTGACACAGATGATTTTGCAATTGAGTGATGGGCAAGTGACAGATTTGTTTTGGTTTTGACAAATTTGACAATTGATATTTCACTAGTATTTGAAAAAATGTTCTCTCCTAACGCGATAAAAAAGACAAAAATAGAATAAGTTGTACGATCTAAACTTATTTACATAGTCATTATGTGCAATTAAAGGCAGCTTGTTACGGAAATTGTATATTTCTTAGAAATGGTTTCACATTATCATAATTATCTATACAGACCCAATTTATTTCCAATTTTAATTCCTGAAACAAGTATTAAGGTCTGATTTATATATTTATTTTTTGTTTCGGGAAGTGGCAATGGAAATTATAATTTTCATTGATTTAATGAGTTATTATTTCAGTAGCGGTAAAGGAATGAATCATTTTAATTTGATGATGCATCAGTTGAAAAAGTCAAGGTCAACACTAAAATAATCTTATTTCATTTTATTTTGATTTATCATGTTATTCCGGGACATGTCGCATTATGCATTATGTAAAAATCTAAACTATTAACAGATCTCTGCTGTAGGGACTCAATACTAGACCAAAAAGTGACTACTTGGATTATCAGTCATATTTTTCACGTTTCATTTTGAAACTTCTTAAGGCTAACCACCTATATGTTTCACCGCGTATGATAATCAAGATGTACGGAATCATAATCTGCTCTGATTATTTTCCTTCATAGATGCACCGTTGTAGATGTTTCCTTTCTCTTTATCTATCTAAAAGGATCTCCGTTGTTACCTTTCTGGCCATTCAGATATCAGAGTTCTGCTTTTAAATCTATCAAGCCATTCACCGGTATTTGCAAATGAATATTTTTTNTTATTATTATAAAGATGGAGAAGTGAAACCCAGAAAGCTTTTTCACTTAATTGAATATTGAAAAATGTTTGAAATTTGCAAAATGCATGAAAACCTAATAATTCTGGTGTATTGGTGGCTCACGATCTTAATTAGTGCTTCCCAAAATTATGTATATATGCCAACGAATCGTCGACAAAAAATATCCAAGAAAAATGTTGTGATGGTTATTTGTGAATTGCCCCAACCCCAACTTGAAAAAATCAAGTGGTCGAGTCGAAAGAATTAATATATTTTAATGATGAATATTACTGAAGTTTTTTCCCAACACCAAATCGTTATTTTTAATACCTCGACACGTGTTTCGATCACCAAGTGATCATCTTCAAGAGAAAGATTAAACTGGAAAAAATAACGATTTGATGTTGGGAAAAAAACTCTAGTAATATTCATTACTACACTAAAGGTTCCAAACAGTAAATGACAAGTATTTTAATGATGACTGTGTTTGTGAATTGAAGTCGTGCGCATGTATAAATTCGTATTTTGTTAAATAAGACTCGCCTAAACCGTCCTCCAATATCACAATCAATATGGGGCACTAGAAAGAACCAAATTCTGGCTGGTTAGAATAGAAGTATCAATGTTTCGTCTGCGGAAGCTATCTTCAGTGGTACATGCGTTGACTGCGAGGACGATACCAGTCGAAGTCTTGATATACTACCGTTGCCCTCGTAGTCAACGTAAATACTACTCAAGATGTCTTCTGCAGTAGCAGACAATTTGTTTGGTACGATCAACCAGTCATTGCTAAGACTGACGACCAGTCATCATTACTGAAAATTCGAGATACTACCTTCGTCCTTTTGCACATCAGATGTCTGCCGCGGTAGCAGACGAAACGTTTCGTACTACAAGTTCCATTCGACCACGACCAATTGGTAACATTTCAACAGGGAATCAATCAATCACCAATACTTTACTCGTCGGTTATTTCCCATGAAAGACTTCGTGATAGTAATGTATTTTTCAAATACTACCGGAATCGCCAACTTCTATCCATGCTTCTTCTCTACATATTTTTCTTCATTTTCTTTTCCTCCAGCACAATGTGTAGGTTTCTTATGAGTGAAACTATACTTAATATATCTATGTCGAATATCCTATAGAAGCGTTGTTACCATTCCTTCAAAACGGTATGACAGTAGTCTTAGATGTTCTCTTATCGATGTCACAAAAAGTATTTTTTGTACCTTGCTGGATGTCGCTTCACATGTCGTACCTCAAAAAGATTCAAGGTGAAACAAATGAAGGTTGCTCCAGAAAAATCATTAATACAAAAATATAAAAAATAAATATATTATAAAACGACACTAAATATACTACATTATCAAGGAAACCTTAATTGGAAAAGCAAGGAAATTAAGGGAATAAAGAAAATATCAGAAGAGGAACTTTCAAAACAGAAAACGGCTAGGAAAGCAATTGAAAATATATACCTAGCGCAACACATTCTACTTCCACAAGTAATACTCAATGGAAAAAATGTCTATCCTGACTAGTAAAATTTCAATTCATCCTGAATAATTTCAAGTTCTCAGAAACCATTACAATTATTACAGAAACCAATTGTTTTATATAATTTATATTCTCAATGAACCCTTACTTGAACTTTCAATGCAATGAGTTTGCGAAACTCGTAAAATGTACGTCTACACTTGATAAACTTTTGAATATTGATATCAAAGAAATCCAAAAATATTCGTATATCTAATGATTATTAGTGACTCTTGCAAATATACTGATCAATTATATTAACAGTAGCTCAGTAAATCGAAGATTCAGACCCATATTATTTGGATGAAAATGACATGATATATGTACAATCATAGAAAGCACAACCAAAACAATGGATTTGTTTTATATGTGAAAATCTGTATTCAGTATGAATACTCTGTACTCAAACCCGGCTCTGAAAAACAGAAAACTCCTTACTGATGGCACACAAAATTTTGCATTTTAGAAAAAATCAATTTAAAATATTTACTTTAGTTTTAGCAACACTTGGAAATTAACCCTTTGTCATCTCTATTTTATTCTTAATTATATTCAATATTCTGAGATGAAATGTTCAAATTGTTTGCCTTGAGTCTAGAAGAGAAAAAAATATTTGGATAAAATACAGAATATTCGCAGGCTTTCCAAATATTTTTGATGAACTCAACTTTTCTAACCTCATACTGGCTGAGCCTACTTACTGCCTACTTCAAATTAGGTAACTGAAGTTGGTACCATCCAACTTTTAGAAGTTGCTCGTTGCTTTATTTTATTTGAAGAAATCCGAGAAGTACTTTCCTGTAACTTTTATGGTACGATTGTAGTACTATTTTTCTTTATTCAACGCTATTATTGAGGATTTTCTTCGATTCAGTGGTACTAGTCGCAGAAGAGTGGTATTAGCACTGATTTTTACTTCACAAATAAATCACACATTAGAATGGTGGCCACTTTTCACAAAATAATTTTACACAAAATAAAAGACACAAGTAAAAGACCACGACTGGTAGTGTGTTGGCAAGATAAACACCGAGAAAATTCTTCAAACCATCTTTGTCGTAGCACGTCGAACAACTGGAGCGAAACAAAAATGCATTATTATTGTGGGGAGCGATAGTTGAGATGATTATCAATATTCCTACTTTTATTCGTCATCACGCCGGATGCTATACAGAGCGACCATGTGATCGTGTGAATGATAGCTATTTATATAGCAAAGAAATTAAGTAGATGTCTGTACCCTCGGGTCAGAGATTCTTGGGTTTGTAAGTTGCTGGAATGCATACAAATTTGTTCCTTTAACAGTTCGTTATTTAATTCACATTTATCTCAAAATTAGTGCTGAAGAAATTCTGTGTTAGTACCTGTCAAACAAGAAAGCAGCACAAAACTTGCTACAGAAAAAACAAACTACTATACCGAATAGCAGAAAATTGTCAACACATGGATGAAATTATGCTGCTTGGACCCGTTGAGATGATCTCGAAGAATTTTTTTTACCGAGTTCCTTATTATCCAAAAATTCAATAGTGAAGAAAACTAATGGTAAATAGAATATCAAAATCGCTAATAGTAACTATTTCTGGAGTTTTTTCCCCAACACCAAACCGTTATTTTAACACCTCGATACGTGTTTCGATCACCAAGTGATCATCTTCAAGAGGAAGATCAGTTTGATCTTCATGCGGCCTCATATTAGATGTTATCTTAATGAACCAAATCGGCTTAATATTTGGTGTATTTGGTGGATGGCGCCTTTCGCCAACGAAAAAAAAATTAATAGGTTGCAGCTGATAGGGGGCTACAAGCTGCCACATTTTTATTCATAAAAATAACTCTTTTTAACATAAGCCAATTTCGCTGTACTGGTACACTTATTTGAAAAAACACATTCAGAAAACTCCCGTTCTTCATTGCAAAATATCTAGGTTGGAGTAATTCACAAAAATAAAATATTGGCAACTCTTCCAGTAGAGAGTGGAGCCAGTATGACCACGTTCAAGTATATTCAAAGGCCAATATGTCTTCAAAAAATCAAGTCTGAAGGATGCTAGCAGGCATACCTTTTAATCCGTCATTATCTTTCAGAAACCCAGACAATGAAACATGAGTCAATAACGTTGGTCTCAAACAATCTATCACAGAATCCTTTGTTTAGTTTCCAAGTTTTATGCGAGTTAGGCCAAATGAAGTTAGGTAAGAACAGATAATTTAGGTTCATATTTTGTAATTCCATTAATGAAAGTTAATCAGAAACTTCAAACTCTCGCGGTCAGTACAGTACCACTACATTACCATGCACTTAGTAAGTAAGCAATAAGCCATAATTAGTATAATTGGTTGAAGATAAAACAAAAATCAACACCAAAATCAACATGGATGACAAGTAATTATTTGAATTCCAGTAGGAACAAAAAAAAAGTTCCATTAATTTGAATCGACAGCAGATAGGAGAAACCACAAAAATGTGTGAGGATTTCAATAATCACTTCGTTAACATTGATCCAAACTATCAACCATCAGTGTGGCTACTAAGAAAATAAGAAGGATGAGATATTCAAAACCAATTTTTCTAAAGCCAGAATTAAATATGAAAAATCAAATTGGGAGAATGATGATGATACAGCTTATAACTTTCAAGATGT